ACTTTAGCTATTTTTTGAGATAAAAATAAAAAATATTTGTTAGTAAAATTAAAAACTTTTATATGTAAGGAAAATTACGTATTTTACTAATTACAATTAGTAAAAAATTTAAGCATTGCATTACTTTTGATGGCCACTGTATATATATATATATATTAAAATTTAATTTTAATAAAAATATAATATAAATATTTTATATAATTTTTTATTTAAGTAAATTTTTAATAATTTTAATATATTAATATTAAATTATATTAAATATTAAAATATATTATTTATAATAATTATTACTTAAATTAATTTTTTGAATTTTAAATTTAATATAATTTAATTCAATTATTTAAAAATTCAAATATTAATTCTAATTATAATATTTTTATATAAATTATAATTATAATTATATTATTTTATTTTAATATATTTAGAATTAATATTTAAATTAGTATTTAAATATTTATATAATTAAATTACTTATATTTTTAAATAAACTTAAATAAATTATTTATAAATTAACTTTAATATATTATTAATTAATTTTTATTTATTAAATAATATTTATTAATTTATAATAAGTATAATTAGATTTCTTTATAATTATTATACTTAAGAAAACAAACTTGAATAACTAAAGAAATATATAATTATAAAAAGATTTTTTTAACTATAATTAATTATAAAAGAAAATTATAAATGATAATTATAAAAAAATATAATTTATATTATAATCTTATAATTTAAAATTATAATTATAATTATAATTTTATATATATTATAAAAATTAAATTTACTTAATTTATTAAATTAAAATAAAAATTAATTTATCTTTATTTTTTAAAATTTATTTTTATAATATTTAAATAGTAATATTTATAATTTAAAACTATTTTAATAATAATTAAACCTTAAAATATATATTTTAAATACTTGATATTTAAATATTTAAATAAATATATTAAATAATTTCACAAAATATTTGCTTAAACTAATCTGAATATTAATTCTAATTATAATTAATAAGTAAAATATAATAATAATAAATTTTATTATAAATAGAGCTTAATCATGCAATTTCATATGATATACATCAAGATAATCTTGAATTATATGATAAAATATATGTAATTAATAATTAATTCAGATTATTTTTAATTTGATCTAGATTAAAAAAACTGAAATTAAGATTGATTCAATTACATGTACTATATAAATAATCAGGAATGATATATATAATATCTTTTAAGCTCTATATAATACAAGAAATGAAAAGGAATATTAGATATTTTATGTATTTTTAAATTAATTATATTATTGGATCTTGTATTTTTTTGATAATTATTTTATAATAAATTATTTACATATAGTGATGATTTATAATCAAAACAAATCTCATCTTCATATAATATATCCAGGAGCTATAAAGCTATGTATAATTTTCTCTTAAAAATTTGCCCTTTAAGTTTTATCACATAATGTGCTGTGAAAAAGAATTAACAGAAAGTCAGAAAGATGGAATTATTATTACAAAAAAACTTGATTACACATATACCAAGAACTCTAAGACTATAGATTGTTCTGTAATTCATATATTAGAAGCACACAAGCTTAAAAATTATCTAAAAAATAATTAGATCATCCTACAGGAAAGGGAGGGGGATGAAAGAAATATTGGACAAATTTTTTTTAATTAATTTTATTTATTTATAGAAAGTTTTAATATTTATTTATTTATAGAATGATTCAGATATTTATATAATGATTCTAATACTTTGTATGACCTGGAAAAGAGTTTGATGAGAATTTTTGTTCAGGTTACTGAAATCTTGAGATGGTTGCATGCAGAATTGTTAGATGATCTGATTATTTTTTAGACAATTTTTTAAGCTCATGTGCTTCTAACACGTGGGATCACAGAACAATCTACAGCCTTAGAGATCTCAGTATGTGTGTGGCCAGGTTTTTTTGCAATAATAATTCCACCTTTCTGACTTTCTGTTAATTCTTTTCCATGGCACATTATGCGGTAAAATTTAAAGGGCGATTTTTTGAGAGGAAATTGCGCGTGGCTTTATAACTCCTGGATGCAGATGAGATTTGTAGATCGTCACTATATGTAAATAATTTATTATAAAATAATTGTCAAAAAAAAAAGATCTAATGATATAAATCAATTTAAAAACACACGAAAACGTCCAATATTTCTTTCCACCCCTGTACATTCATTCATCACAAAATTTTAGCAATGGTATAGCATTTAGAACATCATAGTAACCTATCGTTATATTTTTGATAGGATATTTCGAGCGATATGTTAAAAATATAAATTGTATTTATATTAAGAATATTATTAGCTTGCAAATTTTTCGCAGCAAATTCAAAATTTAGTTATGTTATAATTTGCGCGAGAAACAAACCGTTAAGATAATGAAAAAGGTGTTCAGCTTTTTGTAAGACAGAGGATGAATACGTAATACACGGACATGTATTTAATAGAAACCTAAATTTGGAATACACATTCGATAGCAAACATACATGTACATGTATGCGTATAGTTTCCCTTAATATGGATCAAATTGATACCTAGCACAAATATCAAAATGACAAATTAATGACATAAATAAAAATTTAACAAAACGAAGGGAAGGGTAAGTTCAAATGGTATAAACAAACGGACTGACAAATCAAACGAAACTAGTATGCTGCACAGCATAACACTTGAATTTAATGAAAACGTCCACCCGTTTCTAAGGATAACAAGCACATTCTTGGTGAGATTTTATGAAGGATTGCGAGTATCATTAGAAAGTGGTAAAAACAAATTCCAAGAAGCTCTTTGTCAATAAGGTTAACTTCAACAACTGTCATTGAAAATTTAAACTTTTATTATTTCCTTATATAAAAATGTATGCAAGATTTGTGGTTATTACCACTCACTAGTCCAAACGTCATAGCACAATAACAATTCAGTACAATTTCGTTGACTCGGTTGTTTTCGTCGAAAATTATAGAATTAATAAAATTCAGATGCTATCTGTAAGATGCGATGTCTGAAGCCAATTCAGGATTGGCAATGCATGGCTTATTCTTTACAAGAATATTTCTGCTAACTGCTATTGTACTTTGCGGCAGTCTTTGAGCATGCGAAGGTAATTATAGTATGCATATCTCGTCTGAAAATGAATTTAGTACGTGGAAATGAATAGTATTTGTTGTCTGTTATGTTAGTCCCAAGAAAAAAACCTGCATTGTCACTACGTTATTGTAACATGATCATTACATAACACATGTATATTAACAATTTGGATTGTGAAATGGAAAATTCGATACCGATACAAATCTTAGCTTAACGTTAAAAAATTAGGTCTGTATTTTGATACATGTACGTATCTGCAAATCAGCCACAAAACAAAATGTATAAATAATACTACAACATACTAATACATATAATTACATGTACGTCCATGCAACGTGGATGAATGGTTTAATATAAAATAAGCCTTTAAAAAAATGGCTAATTATATTATAGTAAAGAATATCATCTAGCAAAGTTCGTATTAGTTGTAATCATTAATATCGTTACTATACATACAAAATTAATTACATAGATAGCCTTGCCTGAATAAGAAACATGGGTAATAAAAAATCGAAAAGTTTATCAAAACCTTCGCAGTCAATGAACAAAGCAGTTTTGGAAAACATTTTAAAGGTAACATGATTTATTTTTTTGTGAATAAAAATGTATCGATGTTAAGTAAAAATTTACGAAAAAAATTAGATTGACGTTACGGATTACGAACGTATTAGACGGGAGCAACAACTATTTAAAGTATTTTGGCATAATAACTTTTCAGCACCTGTTCATAATTTACTAATCAGAAATGGAACAAAAGTATTAGAAGTTGGTAAGAGAAGTCATACATGTTAATATGGTGATTAATATATTAAAATTAATACTTTCTCATTGTCTTAGGTCCTGGCAGTGGTATTTGGTATGAATATATATAAATAATTTACTAACTATTATAAAGATTGTTGAGATTTATTGGTTTTTTTTTAAAAAAAAAAAAAGGGCGGGCGATATGGCAGCCGACTATCCTTTGACGCATTTTACATGTTTCGATAAAACATCGAACTTTGCATGTCCAGTGAATACTCATAATGTGGAATTTGTCCTTGGAGACGCAAAAGATGGTTTACCGTTTGATTCAAATACGTTCGACTATTGTTACGCACGGTCAGCCTATTTATGGATAAGTTTATGTAAGAAGAAGGTGACGCACGGTGAATATGGAATAAATGAGTTAATACGAGTTTGTAAACCTGGAGGATGGATCGAATTATTGGAGTATAAATTTCAGATTTATGATGCAGGGCCAAGAAGCAACGAACTAATGAAGAAATGTAAGTTTCCGAATTATTATTTCATGATGTTGAATTACTTTTAAGAAATTTCTTGTAAATCTTATTGCATGTATTTTCTAGTTCAATTAAACGTAGGATCTTGCACTGATTTAAATATATCTGATAAACTCGAAGAACTTTTACATGATAATGGACGATTAATGCCCATTCGATATAATGACAAAGTTATGCCGCTATATGTTAAAGATGGAAAAGTCGCAGAATTAGCGGTACAATGCATATTACCAACCATAATAAAAATGAGCAGTTTGTCTCAAGAACTTTCGCCTGAAGAGTTCAAAGAAACATATAAGCTTTTACATTACGAGTGCAACCAATATGAATCTCATATGAAACATAATGTATTTTTTGCGCAAAAAATTAGATAAACTCTAGTATGTATAATATGTATGTAATAAAAAGCAAGTAGATAATTTATTAAGATAACGATAATTTATTGTGATAACGATAAATAAAAAAAATCACCATATATCGATATGTAATGATCGATGATCGATGACTATTAAACATAGTGCAGATCATATATTAAATTTAATATGAACTAGTGTATTATGCAAGTATGTTATTATAATCGAATTCTTGATCTATTGCAAACCATTTAGAGTTTTATGGTGTCTCTCTACTCAATAAATTTCCCAAGATTAATATTTTTTCATTGATGGGATGTATATGATCTACATAATGGTACTTGTATGTTACGATACAATATCACAAATTAAGCCATTGGTTCAATACCGGAACCTTTTTTTTTTTGCGCACGTCCCACTTTTTGGGGAAACCTAAAAATTTCTAAACCTAATTTTTCAGGATACGATTTTATGTAATGAGACTTTCAAAGGCAATTGCTATTTTAATAAAAAGAAAATTACGATTAAACAATAAGGAATATGGCAAAAGGCATGCTTCACTGAAACCAAAAAAATTAATTTTATTTTACATAAAAGTATTCTGGGTACCGTTAATAATACATTTAATAAAAAAAAAAGATTGCTAATACATGTAAAAAAATGATAGTGGAGTAATTGTGTTATTCGATCTTAATGTAGGGTCAAGAACCAAATAATGTTTCCAATCTGAAAATTGTGTAAGCATTATATAAGCTTATAATGGAAATTCGTGCAGAATGTAGAATTGAAGATTTTTGTGCTTAAAAAAATTTTTTTAATTAATAATAAATGTTAATTTTCCAATAACTAGACTTATCGTTACTGTGTAACGATAATAGATACGAATAGTCAGCCAATCAGGTGTCATCAGGATAAAAGTAAAAAGCCAGGGCAATAATCGTATACGTGGCAAGTAACATTACACCTTCCAACCAATTAGATTTTCCGTCCTTCAATTAAATCAATATTAGATGAGTACATGATTAAATAAAAGATAATACATATTAGTCATAATAAATACCTGAATAAGGTAATTCGTTATCAAAACTGAAATAAATAAAACAATTGTTTCAAACAACTCAAAGAACAATGTCATTGGTTTATTAATTATCCATCCCAAGATTACCAAAAAAGGAGTAACGAAAAGTGCAATTTGCTGTAACCATAATAAAATTATGTTAAATCTTTGTTAAATAGCCGTTGAACATTTCAACAATATACATACCATAGAACTTCCGGCCGCAACACCAATTGCTAGATCCATCTTATCCTTTATTGCCACGGAAACTGCTGTCACGTGCTTTAAACAAGATACATGTACATGTATATCGAAATTAATAATGAAATTGAAAAAATTCATAAAATAATTTGTTTGTTATTACCTCTGCTGCATTACCAACTATCGGTAATAAAATAAGACCAACAAAGGTACTACTCAAACCCGAAGTTTCGACGATGCCTTCGATCGAACCAACAAGGAATTCGGCACAGATTGCGACTGCAACTGTGATAACTGCTAACGATGCAATTGATATTGATAATGAAAGTTGTGGTTCTTCTGGCTCCTCTGGCGCTGCGTTTTCGCCTTCTGCGCCTTCTGCGCATTCTGCACCTTCTGGAAGTTCATTATATAGAAATTTATGAGTTCTCAACTATAAAAAATTATCAAATGTGTTAACTTTCAATTGTAAAGTTTATTTTCCTATGTAATCGTTAGAATACTTACTTGAAAAAATAAGTAAAATCCATAAACAATAAGCAAAACTACCGCCGTTCCACGACTCAAATCGAGAATTTCCTCCTCAGTTTTGCCTTTGTCAGTACTTACAGCCGCATGTAATGCAGCGGGAATAATCAATGCAATACACGCTAGTGTCATCAAACTTGCGCAGGTTTGAGCTGCTGTCTGGTTGAAATTTTGTTCTTTTTTATAATATCCGCCTGCCACGAAACACATTCCTAATACCAACAGCAGATTTGAGATAATTGAACCCAACATTGACGCTTGAACGACTCGTATTAGGTTTTGACGAATAGCCAAGATTGAAACAATCAATTCGACAGCATTTCCAAATGTTGCGTTCAAAAGTCCACCAATCGTCTAAATAAAAATTACTCATTAATGATATTTAATATTAAAGTTCGGCCTCGGCAATTAAATTCATACCTCACCAACTCTCAATGCAATATCTTCCGTGACCGTTCCCAAAAGTTTTGCAAGAGGAATAATGGCAAAAAAATTCAGTGTAAAAGTCGAAACATCGCCCCAATTCAAAAAATGAGAAAGAATTCCGAGTGGGATGAAAACCAAAAGAACATTTAACCAAGTGGATTTAATGACGTTTACAATTGATTGTATTGCAGTCGGTGGTCGACGTGAAGTTTCTTGTGTCTTGTGAATAGAACCAGCTCCAGCGCTAGTAGACGGTGCCTGATCATCAACAACAATAGTGGTATCTTTATTTCCTCTATTTTCTTTTCAATTGAAAAATTTTGAATTTCGATTATTATTTAATCATCAATAATTAAATGCATCAAGAATTAATAAAATTCGGTTACCCATATTTTTGAATTAAAATTATATCGTAAACGTGAAAACGATATTTATTCTATTTATTCATGAATTTTGATGCAGATTTTGCATTTATTCATGTGATACTTTTTTTGTTCCAAACAAAGTTAATTAAACATCTCATGATGATGCAATTTCCATTTCGGTCGAGTGTACATGTATTACAATTACAACAACAATTGTACACAAGATCGAAAACAATAACCGAATTATTATACGTAATGTGTTTTTTTCATTGGCCAATAACCATCAAAAAAGCGCACCACATGCAGGGACCAAAATTCAAAACAGTTTTAGGCCGAATTTTATGTCATGCCCCCAAAACGCAGAAGTCGTCCTCAATTGACCCCTGCATAACCTATGCTCTAATTAAAGAGAAAAAAAGACTAAAACTAATCTGAAACTCTTTAAATAATTTCAAAATCAAAACTTGATTTGATATGAAAAGACTTGATAAGTTCAACCAAAGGGATTATTTATATTAACTAGTTTAATTATTAAGTGATCAAAACTAAAATTTTTTTCAAAATAGTTTGATAAATATTTTTAATTCTAATATAATGTTATTATGAAACAGCTTTGAATATTATAATAAAGAAAAAAATGTTATAACTTAAAAATTATATAAAAATATTTAATTATATATAAAATTAAATTTTATATATAATTATAATTGAATTTGAATTTGAACAAATAAAGAAATTTTAAATATCTAAAAATTTTAATATTATTTTAATATAATTATAATCATAATTTTTTATAAATAAAATAATTTTATTAAGTATTTTTGAAAATTATTAGCAAATCTATTATATCAAGTTTTAATAAAATAATATCTATTTTGAATATTATTTGTTTAATATTCTATTATATATATTAAAGTTAATAAATCTGATTATTTTTAAAAAGAGATTTACTATTTATAACTATTATAAAATAGTAATTTTCTTTTATTTATTATATTTTAATTATAATATTAAATATTATTTAATAATTATAATTAAGTAAGAACAAGATTTAATTTTATAATTTAATATTATTTTATTAAAAATTAATAATATAAGAATAAAATAAAATTATTTTATTATTATATAAAATATTAATATATATTTCTTAAATAAATCTAGAATTCTAAAAAATATTTAATAAAATAGTTATAAAATAATAAAAATTAAAATAAATTAAATATTTAATAAAAAAAATTTTATATAATATTGTTACCGTAGTGACATAAAATTTCTTAATTCCTTAATTTTTCCCTAGTTATGAAATATTACATTTTATTATAGTTTTATTTATTTTATAATTATCCTTGT